AGTATATTATTTTTCAAAGTGTCAGAAATGGATAACAGAACTGCGTTTTTCAATGACTTCTTATTTTTGCCCAGCTTTAACATCGGTATCGATATCGGTTATCGGCTACATGAGTTTTAAAATATCGGCATATCGGATATCGGCCAAAATCCCAATATCGTGCATCCCTAACCCCAATAGTTTATTTCTATCCTTTGCATATATTCAACTTGCTAAATCATTTGGGAAGCCTTTAGGATATGATTGCCACCATGTCACCTACAACAGCATTGTCGGGTGTTCTACAGTTTTTTTAAGCCATGGTTTTTGTTCTGGCCATTGTTACTGTGGAAGGAAGACTGAAAACTAGTGATTCTTCATATTAGTAAGATGTGGGGCATGGCGAAGTTTGATATATAACGTTATTTTTGGATCCTATTAATTTGCTAGGCTGGGAAACAGTGACAGAGAGCGAGACTTTCACCAGAAATCGGGTGGCTGAAAAAAGTGCAGAAAAACTTTGATCCATTGTTAATCAAGCTGGATTAACAAGATGGTTAGTGTGCACCGTAGTGCGGCTCTAAATGTTGAAATGATACATGGTTTCATTTTTCAGTTAGTACGGTTGCTTTCACAGTAGTTTTTTCTCCAAGCTTTTGGTAAAAAATAGGATATATGTGGGCGTTTCTCTGCTTGATAATTGCTTCGTGATAAAAATCTTCTGACCAGAATTCTATCAGACACCGTTTTTCTTTTGAGGCCTTAGTCTGTCCACATCAAGTTTCCATCTCTCCTCTTTTTTTCTGTTGTGAATATTTCCCAGCCAGCCTACAATGCACTGTTAAGGAGATTACGGGATCCGTTTTAGCTCAAACTTGTTGAGTTTGCCTTGCAGTTGGGTCGCATCAGAGAGCGGTTGTTTTCAGATATCAACTAGTGAGCACCAGAATTCGCCCGGAGGCAAAACTCGACCTCCTCTTCAGCCGCACTAGATCGGTGCACATTAGTCGGATTGTGCTTTCTCACTCTGACCCAATCGGGACTAAATTTAGGTAGAGCTAAATTTAGATGGACCTAAAGTTGCAGGTGGGAAAACCCAAAGAGTTAAACCTTAGTTTAACTAAGGTTTAACTCTTTGGGTTTTCCAACCTGCAACTTAGTTAAACCTTAGTTTAACTAAGGTTTAACTCAGGATGTAAGTGCTGTTGAATTCTTGTTAAAATTAATCATTCATAATTTATGTTGTTGTTTAGGTAAAAACTTTAAATGAGTAAATTCATGGCATGTTATAAGATAAAATACGTGTTAATTTTATAATTTATTTATTTAATAAGTTTGCTCTTTTCTGCACTGTTATGTTTAGCCAGGAACCAATGTTCATACTTGTGTACTACTACATTGAAATTAATAGATGCTACACTATGAAGCTAGATTACAAAGCCTGATGCGAGCGTGTAAAGAACCTCTCTTCATGACAAGCGGCTAATGAGGTATTATTATTTGTTTTATTGATAAATCTGTTTATACTTATGCAGCGCAGCATCCTGCTCTTATTTGTACTAGTACACTCGGTTTGAGCTGATATATGTCTATTTGTGTCTGTACAGTTCTCACGGCATAAAAGTATGAACGTCATAAAGAACCTAAATGGAGTTTCATGTTGAACGACATGAGAAAAGACGAATTAAATGCCTGTTAAAGAGAAACCGATCCGTGTCTGTCGTGACGAGAGTTACACAGGATCTCCTATTTCTACAAAAAACACAAACCGTCCTCTTTGCCTAATGCTAGTTACATCAAGACGGAAGGCTGGGACGATTGACTTTAAGTACAATATAATCACAATTGAATTAAATGCTATTTTCAACCTGAAAAGGCTTCCTTTAAGCCATTTTACAAGACTGACTTTCATACTGCGGCCCTTTAGGTGCAGTAGTGTTGGCCTAGTGGATAGAGTAGTGCGTACGTCCTCTGAGAAGGTTGAAAGTACCTGGTTCCACAGCCTCACAGCCTCCACTCTGGGTCCCTGAACAAACCCTTTACCCCACACTGCTCCCCAGGCGCCACACAATGGCAGCCCACTGCTCCCCAACGGAATGGGTTAAATGCAGAGAGTGAAAATTCCCAATGTGGGACAATGAAGGGATTTATACATAGTAATACACTTTAATTGGGTTTACCACCACTTAGGAGAAGAGAGAGCTGCAGCTGGGGCAAAGATCAATGCATGCCAGTAGAAGTAAGCATTTTTCCACAAAAGAGTAACAGTAAAACAGTGGACCATGGAAAAAACAAGCTTTCTAGATCTAGATCAGGGAAGGTGGTGCTTGTGGTTAGTGCCAAGGAAAAATAAAATAAAATTAGAAACGGAATATTAATTGAAGAAAATCTTGAGTGATTGATTTAGCCAGGTTAAGATGCTAAAGTCTGCATCTCATATATCAGTGTTTTTTTTTTACTGCTCATGTAAGAAAGGCTGGAATAAAATATTTTAAATGTTATTTTTACATCATATTAGATGACAGTTCCTATAAAAATTGGATCCAGTTCAAAGTGTCCCTGCAAGGTAGAAGTTAGAGGTAAACTTCACATCATCAATCTGCCCAAAATTTTGATCAATACCAAAATAAGCAACTTATAGAGACATGGTGGAGTTTTCTAATGATCCTGCCACCTGTGGTCAGAACATAAAACTGCAGCACTCTTCTGCTCGTTCTCATAGCGGAGCCGTACTTCACACGTTTTCTTTGTTTTACTATTTTACGATTACAAAATTAGTTGACGATTACTTCAATTAATTACGATTAATCTTTTTAGCCCTAGTTTCCATCAATGTCTGAGTTTAGTCGGATGCCGGTCAGTTCAGAATATCCACATAATCCATCTTCAATATCCCATCTGTGTGATGTCAAGCACATCCGGACAACAGTGCAGGCACTTCCGACCCAAAGTAAATTCAGGAAAATAGTTTACTGCAAAGACTCCTGCAATGTTTAGGTACTGCATAAACCCTAAACATAAATAAATGACTTATAATGTGAGGGATTCACAAGAGCTGTCAGGATAACTTCAATAAAAATTAAAAGAGGTCTGTTCAGAGAAGAAGTAGATATAAGTGAGGCAAAAGCATTAATTAGTGTAAGTTTAGTTCTATTAGCAGATAAAGAAAATGGCCTCATTTGTCTAACCTCCAGGAAAAAGCATAAATGAGTGCTGGGCATTTATTGCTTTTACCTTAGGTTTCTAAGAAGAATTTTTCTTTTTTAACTGTTTTGAGAAATATGCCTATTCTTTTTTTCCAGATAAAACTTTCTATTTTATCAAAAAGTACAAAGAGAAAAAACATTGAATGTTTATTATGATTTCATGCTCACCTTTCTGCCTTCGAGGAATTTGAGCGCAGTACCGATGTTGGAAACCCAGTGTATCCTTTTCAGCTGTCGGCCTTGCTCACAGGGCTGAACACCAGGAGGAAAGAAATATGAGAAAAATAAGCAAACCACACACAAAAAAAATGTTTTAGTTGGTTCACTATGTTTCTGTTATAAGCTTCAAATGTGCGCTCCATACAGACAGTTCAGTTTTGCAATGCTTGGGACATTTTTCTACTAATGCCTGAGAAATAAAGTAAATCGAGCTGGCTATTTATAGATTTCATACAGTATAATTGGAACATAGCTCGTCATGACATAAGGGAATTGGTCTTAGCAAGTCTATTTTTATCTAAAATAACTCATAAGAACACACCATTGTCAGCAAACAATACTTAGAAGTCCATAGAAATGAGTTATACATGTATTTTAGCACACTACTCCAAACATTAGCTAACTTGACTTCGACTTCCTTTATTGTCATTGCACAAAAAAACACAAGGTGAATCTTAACAACAAAATGTCGATTACTCAGCAACCAGTGTAACAGAGCTAAGACCTTATTCCTGCATAATAAATATTTTTTCTATAAGTAAGAGCTAGTTATACACAAGGCAAAGAGTATATATATACATATATATTTTGCACTGAGTTATTTTTATTTTTTATTTAACCTTTATTTAACCAGGAAGTCCCTTGAGATTGAAATCTCTTTTTCGAGGGAGACCTGGCCAAGATGGCACACCAGTTAAAATACAAACAGAAATACAACATAGACAAAATCTCACATAGAGGAAAAGACAGGTCACATAGGGCAGTTACATTTTTGAATGACATGACATTTTAACATGGCCTTAAATTCATTCAATGGGACTAGATCATTTAAATGGAGCAAGTTTTGCTAATTATTCCAGGACCATGGAGCAAAGTAAGAGAAGGATTTCTTCCCCAGCTCAGTAAAAACCATTGGAACCTGGTAAGAGCGCCACCTGGTGGAACGGAGATGAAAATGGCTGGAATTTAGCTTGAGGAGATTGCATAAATATGCCGGCAGTTTACCCAACATGGCCTTGTATAGAAAAGTATACAAATTAAGTTGTCTACGTTAGGCTTGTCCCAATCCACGTATCGGATCGGACGCCGATATTTGCAAAAAAATGCGTATCGGCAAAGCATGTAAAAATGCCAATCCAGTTTAAAAAAAAAAAAATCCGGTCCTTATTTTACAGTTTCGCCGATTGAAACGACCCCACACCCCGCCGATTGAATCGATTGAAACAATTCCACTATTTTGCGCCAGTGTTCCCCGAATCCGGTCCGCATTTTCCAGAACACCTTCAGCACACCCACAGGTATTTCTGGGTCTGTCTCCCGGCCTAACCATTAAAACAGGTGAATTGGAAGATAGCGGGGAAAATGTCAGCCGTGTGGGATTATTTTATCCTGCACGCTGTGTAGATGGAGACTAGGTGTGGAGGAGATTGGGGAGTATAAGAAATTTTTGTGTAATAGTTCACTATTATTTGCACAGATTTTTTTTTTAAGCAGTGTCTTTTTTCAAGAGTAAAGTGCTGATTCTAAGTTAATAGAATATTTTCCACTCTTGTCTGTTTTGCATTTTTATTAAAACTCACAGTAATACTTGCACCTTTAACTGTTTACGGTTTTACTGTTCACTGTGCAATATTAGATTGCTATTCATAATTTTGTCCAGTTTGTGTTTATCTCTTAATAAACAGGTAAGTTTGTTGTTACCAATCATTGTGTTTTATTCAATCTCACCTAATTCAGCCGGCTAGATGTTATCANACAGAATCTAACAGGTGGAGAGTACTAGAGGCAGCATGCATGTAGACAACATCACCATAGTCCAAAACACTTAAAAAAGTAGATTATTGAAGAAGTAACATCAATAAATAAATATTGCACTGAGTTATTGAATATTGAATATAACTCCTGACGGCCTTTGTTTTAAAAATACATAAATAAAAAAATATTCACAATATTCACACAAACCATGAGTAGGAAAAAAAGAGGCATTAAGGCTTGGTATAACAACAGAAATGTAGTTTCTTCAAAAAAGACAAGTCTAGTGTTTTTAACCCTTGCTTGCAGAAAAACACAGTTAACAAGGATCAAGCAACACAAAAAAATAGATCCTGTCACAAAGGAAACAATTGTTTTTTACAGCTTCCAAAGTGTCTCATAGGATTTGTAATACTGGTAATACTGTGTGGCGAAGTGTGCACAAAGTCACATAAAAATAAACCCCTAAGCCTCCCCATAGATTCACAGATAACAATGGGAGTTTGGATTAAAAGAAGTGTGAATGTCTAGAAATTTGCTTCAAACTGTTAGCGTGCACTCGTGTCTCTGTGGGTGTGTTTTTTTTCTGTCAGAAAGATGAAAAGTAAGATTTGATGTCTTGTGGTAAGAGTCTCTCACAGAAGAGGATCGGAACTACTTTTTTTCTATAGCAACTTTGAACAAAACAAAGAAAACGTTGAATCATTGTTTACATTTTGAGTTGGTTAGAAGAGCCATCATACCTGGACGTCTGACTCATTAAAAGCCTCAAAAGAAATGTCTGATTTTTAACTTGATCAACCTCAATAGTGAGCTTACTGGCAGAACCAAACATTCAATCTATTAGGGACTACTAAATGTGACAACAACCATCTTTGGTCTGGCTGCTGGTACTAAAGTAAGCAGACTCTTAGACTCAGGATCAGTGAGTGTTTTAAATTAAGATGGGAAACACAGAGCGAGGCATATCTGCATTTCAATTAAACTAAAAGACAGGATGCGATCTCTGCAGCTAACAGGAAGGCAGTTTTTATGCCTCTAGTGGCTCGTTTTTCTGACAGTAGGCTGACAGGAAAGGAGGTATGAGAGAGGGGGAGATAAATGCGGCAAAGGACCACAGGCCGGATTCAAAGCCGGGTCGGCCGCGTTGAGGACTAAGGCCTCCGTATATGGGTAGTGCACACTAACCACTGCGCCACCTGCATGCACAGCATAGCTGATTTTAATTCCTTCAGAGTTTCTACATCTATCTAAAACATCCTGACTTTGGAAATGTTGGCAACATTTGGATCTCCTAAAAAGAAGGTAAAAATGTTAGTATAATCTAGGGGTGTAAATAATAATCATTTTGTATCGATGCATCGATCCAAAAGCCAAAAGCATCGATACGTCCGCAAGATAATCGATTCATGTTTTTTTTTTCCCTCTGGTCTATTTTTATCCATTTGCTCCTGGGGGTAATTCTTCTCCCGTGCTATGGTGGCGCTAAACCTATTTTTCCCTCCTACCTCGCCTCCTGGTTATACTCTTACAGCAGTGTGTTGCAGTGA